AGAGTGTTGTGTGTTGATTTGTGCGAGGATCTGTACAGTGACGAGCATTTAACTGGTGAGCAGCAGCTTTTTCCTCTTCAAGATCTTCTCGTCATCTTTATCTTCATCATCTTCATCATCATCATCTCTATCCGACTGTTTACCGTCATTTCACCCCATGGACCCCAGCGAATTCCAGTCACCGAAGGACTTTGTGGCCGGCCTCTCCAGAGCAGGTACTTTTTCTACCTTTGAGTTTTTGAAATTGGCTAATGAGTTCTTTCTGTTTGTTTGTTCCAGAGGCCAAAGCACTGCTGCAAAAGTGGCGCGAGGAGAATGGCCGCAACTCTGAGCTGATTCGCGAAATATGGCGCTGTCCGAAGCTGGCACTCGCCTCTAATCTCGGTGATGAAAGTGAGTGTACTTTTACCGAGTATTTCTAATTTTGTTTTGATTCAGCTAAATCATTTCATCTTTCTCCCCAGAATGGCTCGTCCTCGAGCAGGTCTGCCTCGCCGCGACCGACCTGCACGACAAGACGCTGGTGAAGGAGTGCCTCGCCCTGCTGCAGGCCCAGTTTCCCAAGAGCAGCCGCGTCCGCCGCCTGCGCCTGATGGCCAATCTGGAGCTGAATGAGCGCTACGAGGAGGCCCTCACCGAGTACAACAGCATGATCGCCGCCGATGAGTCCAACTCGCTGCTCTACAAGCGGAAGATCGCCATCCTCGTGGCGGCGAAGCAGACCACCGACGCCATCAAGCACCTGGTGGATTACCTGAAGAAGTTCCTCAACGACCACGAGGCGTGGATCCAGCTGGCCGGCCTGTACATTCGCGAGCAGGAGTACGTCCGGGCGGCCTTCTGCCTGGAGGAGCTCATACTGACCAGCCCGCACAACCACCTCTACCACGAGAAGTACGCCGAGGTGCAGTACACCATCGGCACGCCCGATTCCCTTGAACTGTCTCGCTCCTACTTTGCCCAGGCCGCCCGCCTGAAGCCGTCCAGCGTCCGGGCACTCTATGGCCTGCTGCTCGCCTCGAACGCCCTCGCCGCGCTGCCGAAAACGGCGCCGGCGAAGAAGAAAGAGTGCCAGCGGCTGTCCGCCTGGGCCGCCGACGCCCTCGCCAAGATCTACCGCAGCGCCGTCGTCGATGATGAGAAGCACCTGGAGAGCCTGGAGGGTGCTCTCGCCAGTCTGCAGGTGTCCTGATCCATTCGTTGGTGGTGATCAACTGCTACTTCTTCTTGAGCAATCCGCTTCAACAAACTTTAGGAACCAAATCACACACATATACTGGGGCAATTTCTATTTCACGTTTTTCACCTCGTTTTGCATGATACCTTACCTTCTTCTTCTTTTTCTGTTAGTCTTGTTAGCTTATTCTGCTTTTTACAATTTCTTCTTTCTTATCTTCTTCTGTTACTCTTCCTCTCTTTTCTACCCTCTCTCTCTGTACACACTGCACCTGATTACAATGATGATGTTGATCATCAGTTACGCTGAACAGTACAGTGCACTGCTGATTTCCATACAAAAAAGTCGCTTCGCCTTGACTCGGTGGTCTACTTTATCCGCCGCCACCACCATCACTACCACCGATGACCCCAATTACCATCACTGGCTAGTGGACTGATTAGGAGAGAGATGTGGTGGTTGGTCTTGTGATCTTTACCTAATCACCACCATAAATTGCATCAGCCGAAATCAGCGGCGAATCTTTTTCTGCTGCTGCACTTTGTTTACGTTTTGCTCTTCGCCTGTAAACACCTGCTCGAAGCGAAAAATCTTCGCATTTTTTTGTGGTAGATTTGTGTTCTTTTTCTGTTCCTCCTCTTCAATCCTTCTCAAACAAGTCATCCTTTACCACCACTACCACCAGATCTTTGCGGCGTAAGTTGCCAGCACAAGGTCTTTTGGAAGCCGTTGCTGCTGTTGCAACCACTATCGTCTAATGCTGTCCTAATCTCCAATTTTGCCTTTTCTTTTTCCTCCTTGACTGGCCACTAGCGCTCTTTGTTTCTCTTTGCTCTCTCCCTCCTTCTCAGCTGGTTGATGCAAGCCACTCAACAGATGAAGACGCTGCTACAGAGCGGATAAGGGCGAGAGAGGTACTCTGCCGTGTTGATAAGCAGTGGTAGGAAGAATCCAATCACCGATGATTGCCACACAGCCACCAAACTAAGGTTTTCTTTTTTCTCTCCTCGCAGATAACCAACTGATCAACCAGCACCACCACCATCACCAGCTACTATCATCAACTGGCCACCGAACTCGTGCTGGCTATAATCTGGTATCGTCTTACACAGCTGGCGTAGGTTGTGAGCACAAGGCACGACTGCTGCTGCGGCTTTGGCGGCGGCAGCTGCAGCAGTAGACCTAATTGCGCAAATGCCAAACAAAAAAAGCCAAACACTCCTCGGGAAGAAGGGGACAACAAACAAAGAGCGCGGCGCCAAATAGAACTCAAGGAGTTTTTCTCCAGCCTTCGGTGTACTGCTGCTGATCATCAGCTCGGGCTGTCCTCAATATCCTCCTCAATAATTTCCTAAGCATCCTTTCCTCCTCTGGTCTCAAGTCCAACAACAACAAAACAAAGTGCCACCATTCACCACTTTCTCCATTTTGTCTTCCTCACTTTTGCTCACATTTACTCAGCCATCATTCATCATCATCATCGGACTTGTCATTTCTGCAGCTGTGTGATCATACTTTTCTTCTTCATTGCCCAACTGTGATATACTGTTGCCTCCCCTCGTTTTTCTTCTTCTTCTCTCAACTAACTGCCTGCAACTGCCGAGATGATGAACACCGCCGCCAATGAATCTCAAAATGTACTCGAATCATCTCCTCATCCTCCCCCTCCTCCTCCTCAATCAGAGCAGATGGAGAGCACTACTACAGCCAATACTACAGATACCACTTCTACCAAGAAAGAGCAGGAAGATCAGGTTTCAGTAGTTCGATCTTCGACGACCAAAGTTCCTACCGTGACTGACGACGAAGACGACG